TGAGGAAGGGTTTTATTCCATGAACCCGTTTGAGCCCGCCACACCCCTTTTAATGTGCGCCCCACGCTAAGCTGTTTGCATTCAGGCCTTTGCAAAAATGCAATTTTCTTGATACAAGTACTATAACATATCCAATTTGTCATTCTGTCAGTGTCAAACTCTCCTCATATGTGTACCGCATGCATAGGAATGCATTTGTACACTTTGTACTCCAGCTATAAAAATTGATTAAAAATAACAATTGAATTTGACACAAGTCGATATCATCATATATCAGAGAGATCATTATACTTTATGATATCACACCTTTTTGTATTACCACGATTTGTGACCACCCAGATGTTGGTCACTCACACTGTAAACTGTACATGTCATTTAGAAATTAACTCCTCAGCCACAAGAGAGTTGAGCCAGTCATAATTCAATGGATTCATTCATTCAAGAGGATTCATTCTACATACAAATAATGAAATTAGTTTCCTACAAATTATCGACCTCACAAGTCATTTTTTTGATAATATTGTTACGTTTATCATTATTCCAAAGGCTACTTAGGTACTTCAAACTTTACAACAATAGCATAGTCCAATAGCACAATAGCATAGCTTTCACACAGGTTTAGAAAAACTTTTCCCGTATCTGGAAAGAAATTGATTTCAATAATGATATTCTGACTAAACGCTCCTTATCCATTCATTCCAATGCACACCGGCATTTGATTCCACTCGGATAATTTATTTACTCAAGCTGGCTGGAAGGATTCTTTATCTTGTCAGAATTATTTACACTTGGATTGCATGTGTGTAATGAGAGGAAGAATAGAAAATGCGGATCTCTTCTCTTCGCGTAACGCTTGACACGGCAACAATAGCACACGGACATATGTACGTACGTACGTAGGAACAATGTGCATCTCATCTGACAAAGTCGGCAAAGTGGGATTCCATTCTTATTTATGTATGTTTGGATAAGACAGACATTTTCTTTCTTGTCCTCCTCTAATGCGACTGACTGTAGTAAATAGTGGTGGATGCCACATTACCGGTAAGACACAAGACTAACTTTCACGTCGCATCACAAATAAGGAGCCTCTTACGATGGATACTTCGAGTTAGTTGGCTCAACAAAAGAAGTGATTATCCTTTAGTAAAATTCTGCAAAAGAGCACACGTCTGCTTGTTACATGCATGCATCCTTGTGTGCAAATGTACATAGATATCTGTGGGGAGCTGTGAATGAACTTTACTCTCTAACATTCCAAAGTCCAGGGAATCCTGATTTTGGAAACAAGTTCAGTAAAGTTCGCCAGTTAGTGAAGCTTGAAACTATTCTTTCGGGATGTGTATAAATTAATTTGTAGTTTAATAATCCTTTCGCGAGGAGTCGATCTCATCTCAGATTTCTCCCTTGATGTTCCTTCAGTGGCGAGTTGAACGAGATCAGTGAATAAATATATGGACTTTTCCCATAATATCCAATGGAATGAGTGCACCTTGATGTCCTCAAGCTTTTAACTCGAAAACAAAGCAAAGGTAGTGTCATGAAAGGTGCTTTTGGTAGTTTTTGTCTGAGAATCATGAAGGAAAATGTAGTACAACATAGTATTCGGGCAGGCAGAGGAGTATGCAGTTTGTACAAGTGTGAAACCTGGCTGTGGTATCGAATAACCCATTCCCTTTGTTGCATATTAGTGCAAACGAGTCTCGTTGTCTGTGTGAATGTTTCATCACCATGCACTATTATGTAGTACAAAAGAACCTACACTTTGTTCGTCTCGGGCCCTCCACATTTATTTTATGTACTTAATCTCATCAGTACCTTCAAGGGAAATGATTAATCGATTCAACTCCCTCAAGTTCAAAGTCATTGTAGAAGTGTGACTTGAAGAGGATGGAGGAAATGTGCATATGCATGTTTCGTGTATGTTTGCCTATCTATCTCTGAGCGAATAAATCTCAAGTTTCACTCAGTCAACTCGTGCTCAAGATCTTTGTTCCTGTAATGGAGTTAAATTACCGTGAAAAGGAAAAGCTCGTCAGCCGGGTAGGAAGGAATGCATGTTGAGGAAACATGAGTACTATGCATGGGAACATACATTTCTATGAGACATATTGCCTCGTCTATGCCGATGGTATTTCATATTTCCGCAAGTATCACTTTAGTTAACCCTCTAACGCTTGGTCTTCCGCATCAACCGCACAATAATGTAACCTCCAAATTATTAGGATAAAACAATGTAATGTGCAATGTAACCAGACCACCGAAGCTGGTTTCACGGTCTTGGAGAAAACCGCCGGAAGGATGATGATGAAGTTTGTAAGTGCTGAAGACATGAAATCATGAAGTTGGCTCGTGATACGGCTCTCTTGTAAAATTACTGTACACCATGTCGATTTATGCCGTATACTAAACTTACTATACATATTAGTCATAAACCAGTTCAAGTGATCAAATTTCCCTTCAAGTGCTTGTTTCCGGAACAAGGGCATGATTACATTGTTGAGTCAATGTTTGTTCTTTTTTACTACTTAATTACCACTCGTACAATATGCTATTCAGCCTGCTTTCTCCATAACACCTCCCTTCGAATCACGTTGCTGTGGGGTGATTTCGAGTCAAAGTTCCTTGAGTTTAATTGATGCAAGATGATGATCATCAAATAAACAAACCACTTGTACTTGAAAGGTTAATAGGGTGACTCAATGTCAGTTTAGAAACCAAAGTCAAGTAGGAGAGAATTTTGCAGAAAAATAATAACATATTAAAAGATCAACTACCGTGTACCGTATGATTTAACATTAGGTATGATAAGCTCAATTATTGGAAATGAACAAGTGTTTACTAAATGACTTATTTTCAAGGTACACAAGTGGCTACAAAAATGTATGGAAAACATGCCAAATGCACTCGCAAAAAATTTACCAAATTACGTAGTACAAATCACCTTACAAGAACACGTCTTAATGGCGAAGACCGAAAATGTGAAAGCACTCTCCGACTGGTTTACCACTTATTAAATCTGTGTTCCAATGTAGTTACAACGAATTCCCCGTCTTGTTGTTCAATTAACAAAATAAAGAGTTGACACTGTGTGCGTGACAGTTGCAACGAATCCCGGACAGGACAAATTGAAAATCCAATTTGTGTAATTAATAAGTTTCCGACAATATCAAGTTTCCAAAGAAAGGGGAAACAAATTCATGGCAGATTATTGATACGCATAGCGACCTGCATGTAGACACACTGCTTTGATGCAATTTGTACCTTGGGACAAAAAAGGGTGAGGCGCGTCGAGTTATATAATGCTCGGTCACTTACCACACCGCCGTAATAGCGGCGGCATTCAATTGTTCCAATTATTTATGGTTGAGTAACTGGAGAGAGGTGGCTGCAGTGAAAGGACTTTTGGTGACAACTTTCACTTTCACCGTGACTGAACTTTCTTTGCTCAGAGGACATTGGCAGCCATGCACTGCTCGCTCGAGTCATCTTGTTACTTCTACTATGCTGCGTTACGAGCCCTACCTTTATATTTAATCAGCACTTTGAGTGGAAAATTTCATGAAAATTAAATTAAATTTCCATCTTTCACTTCGCATAACGGTTTATTTACTGACTGCATTAACTTATCAGGCTCACCTGGTTGCTGGCTGGCATGCCTCAGAGGTGAATTACTACAAAATTTCATTACTACTCTAGAAGTCTCATATCTTTGTATATTATCTTTTTCGTCCAAAAGTACGAATCAAAACAACAAGTTGGGCTGGAATGCTATCAAATATGGCGTATGTACCAATTACTTACTTGATAATCATGCATAGTCCTTTGTCCTTGTAAGTAGTGTAAACAAGGACATGTCTGAATTAAGTGAAAACTTTCACCCAAATTTTATATCTGTTATGACAAGTCGGGACAATATTACTTCTATCGGGAAACGAGGAGGTGTTTAACTGCGGGATTTAGAATGGACAGTTGAAGAAATTCCTAACTACGTAATATTTTCACCAACTAAGATGACAACTAAATCTGACTGAACATACGAAATTATATTGTTATTTCGCAGAAATACCTTGTGTATTAGTGTTTGACAGTGGTACGAATTAACGTCAATTGTTTCACAAACATGACAAAGCAACACCTTTATCAATCATGAAGGATTTAACAGAGTCAACTCCCACCCGCACTTTAAAGCAGGAAAGTTCTCTTTGACGTATGATGAGGTCACAATGATAATGACCTAAATACTATCCTATGATTTATGGAAAACGAATAGGGATTATTACTTTCGTAAACTAATTGCATATATGTTTTGCATCTCTCAATTTCATATATAAACAATAAAAGAAAATTTAATACAAGGCACGAGCAGCACTTGAATATATGTCTTTTAAAGTGCTTAACATCGACAGACGGGTTTTAACCAGACAATTTTTCTAAACACATGTCGAAAACAAGAACAAAACAATAAATTACACTGATTTCTACGTCATATGTTTTAGTAAACATTTTAAGCTTTTAGAGGATCGGGCAGAATCCCAGTACTCAAAATATAAAAAATAATACTCTTGTTGACAAACCTGTATATTTAATCTGTAAAACGGAACAACTACCTACAACAGCTCGTTAACCAGTATCAAGAGGGTTTGTTGCCTCGCAATCGTCAAAATAGTATAAACGTTAGTTTTAGTCACTTTTAAAGAAATTCATATGACGTCTTGTTTATCTTGAGGATGGCGATGTTTGTCCACATCATTCATCATGAATAGACTACTTTGTCACCCAGTTTGACATTCCTAAAAAGATAAGCCCTCAAATTTTGCCAGTTAGAAGCACCTCACATTGTTGATTGTAGCAGAGGCAAATCTATTCATGTGTTTCATATCTATGCATGTATATATGTATTCTAGCTGAAAATTATGCAAATATTGTGCACACGTATGTATCTGCATTTTTATGAAATACGTATTTCTTACGCAAGGTGTATTTGATTCTATTTGCAGGCAAACTGGTTCCATTTGCAGAATTGTCAGTTGCCCACGCGTCAGTCCTGACAATTCTGGCGATAAGTTTGGAACGCTATATCGCGATCTGTCGACCCCTGCGTGCCAACTACACTTGCACGAAACACAGGGCGGTCGCCCTCTGCATCGCTATTTGGATCATTGGCTTCGTGGCGACAAGGTAACCCGATCGCTTGATATTTCTTTCCGCACTAATATCCTCACATTAATAATATCTTCATATTTTTGCACCATCACCGTCAACGAGCTCAGAATAACATTATTTTATTTCCTTCCTTGTTTTTTCCAGCCCAATGTTGGCAATAGCGCAACACAAAACTCTGCGCTACATTGACAGGTCGATCCACAACGCCTGTCTCACCCAAGCCCACAACTTCTGGGCGCAGCTTTACTTTCTCTCCTCCATCGTCATCTTCTTCTTCCTCCCACTCCTCACTCTCATCGGGCTGTACTGGGTCATCTCCAAGAATCTCATGTCCGACCCTTCCGGTGCCGGACGCTGCTGTCCCGACCATCCAACAATGAGGGCACGGCGACAGGTAGGCCACCACGAATAAATTTTACACAGTATTCACTCCATTCCTCTATGAAAAGATTTTCCTTTTGCTCATATATTCCCCATCCACATGAAGAGACTCACTCATGCAAATCACTTGTTTATTGCATCGTTGATTCAGTCAAATTGTAATTTAGGTGGATAAATTCGATCCATTGAAATCATGATTGGTGTACATTTTTTATTTATTTTGTGCTCATTGTAGAAGTTGCCAATTAGATTTGAAACTTTTTCATTCGAGTCTTTCCAATTTCCAAGTAGAAGGACACGTTCCAATTTTTGTTATTATTTATGATTCATGGGAGAAATGTATTTTCCGCATCGACCTCAGAAGAAAAAAAAATATAAAAACTCAGTTTTGCGATACATGTACGTACGACTGGTCACAATTCGTATGGTTCGATACATTGGTAATAAATTCAGCTCAGCTCAGTCTTCTTTAAAAATGTTGGATCTCCCGTCAAAATCTCGCTGCCTTCATATACCTCCCCCTCCGACAGACCATTCATCACAAGCCATCCAATAACTCACTTTCATACATATGCGATATACGCATTTCATCCTCACTCACCCACCCGAACATCATCTTGTGGTAGGTTCGTGTTCAAAATTTCTTTGAACTGATACAATCTACTACGTTGTGATTGACGAATCCAATTTCAAAGCGTCTGATATTTCATGACCCTGACCGTGACTGACAGCCGGTCATCGAACTTGTAGCAAACAGCGATTCCACCAAGAGTATTGTTTCCACAAAAGGTTTCGATACGACTGCTACGCTCATTAGAACTTCATGTCCCTAAAAATTAATTGGACTTACAATCGCGATTTGTATCACGTCTCGCCTAAAAAATACTAGAAATCCTAACCAATACCAACTTTCTAGTAAAATATGCATCTTTTATTGAGTCGATAATTATTTATTTTGCAGGTGGTGATCATGTTGGCAACAGTTGTATTCTTTTTCTTCATCTGTCTGCTCCCATTCCGAGTTTTTACAATGTACATCATCTTGGCTCCGGACTCGTGGGTGGAAAGCATGGGGCAAGAGCTTTACTACAACGTTCTCTACTTTTGTCGAGTTATGCTCTACTTGAATTCCAGCATCAATCCAGTTCTCTACGTAAGTCGCATGATATGCAGATATTTCGATTTGACACATTTTACTATAGTTCGAATGAAATGAAGTCCCATAATTTATAACGAGTTATTTTACGAGTCGTAAAGAAAAAGCGACTTTTCAGCTATTTCCCGTATTATTAAGGCGCAGGATGTAAATGCAAATGGAATGCACTTAAAAAGGGAATAGACAATGATGATGATATCGCAGCGATCACTCTTTCCGTCGGTTTCTAGTTAGTCGTGGGACCTAGTCAACCTTTACCGACATTGATTCTCTCGTCTGTGTTTGCAGAACGTGATGAGCTCCAAATTTCGGGAAGCGTTCTTCAAAGTATTGGGATGTCCCGTGGGCAGTCAGAGACGAAATCAGTGGTTGTGTCGTCATCTGAGTCGGCAGTCGACTTTCACCACGTCGTCAACCCTACCCACGTCCAGTATTAAGACGCAACATTATCATCATCACCACGGGAAAAGCTGTTGTGGAAATGGAGATTCTGTCCGGATTCGTGAGCTGACCGGGGTCGGAGTCGTCATTCCAGACCAACCAAAAAATGGGCACTTTCATGGAAAGCACGTGAGGGCACTGCGAGCTACATCTGGGCCCTATTATCCATCCAATCAACCACCACCAAAGCGACAATTGAGTACAGATGCAGCCGTTGTTCACACTCAGGTTGTAAATGTCAAGGAGAAAAAAAGTATGATCAGGGCCAACAGCGTTGTTTAAAATCTGGACCATATCCCACAAACGTCCAGATATGAAACTATTTTACAGCATGTGTTTCATGTGGAGGAAAGGTTTTGCATTTGGGGGATTGCTTCGAGATTAATTTGATACGAATACAAGTTGTGTCAGTTTAATCGATTAAAAAAATTAAAAAATCCGGACTTTGAGAAATCGACAAATTGCTACTCTTTTAACGTGGTCAAGAGTGAAAATATGTTGTTTGGTAAATGTGCGCGTGGAAGTATGCACAACTTTTGTTCTACAACCCGAAATCCCTATTATTTTTAGGCATACCTGAAATCTGCATATATTTATCGCAATTTGAGACCTGCTCCACATTTCATACGCTATTGAGTACGCTATGTGAGTTTGTTATTTACATGTAGTTTGTTATTGACCCCTTAATGTGATATGCATAAAATTCTAAGTAATCACTGGAATAAGGATCAGAGTGGTCACTTTTCAGGTTGTAGAGCAAAATTTCATAAAATGTCATTGCATATTTTCACGAATATATTTACCAAACAACATACTTTTATTTTTGACAACGTTAAAAAATAAGTAACAATTTATCGATTCCTCGAAGTCCGGACTTTTTATCATTTTTTAAATTAATTAAACTGACCTACTCCCTATTAGCATCAAATTAATCCCCAAGTAACCCCCCAAGTACAAAAACCTTGATGTGGACGTAATACCAAAAATTATCATAATTTAAACAATTGGCTGTACCATACAAGTCCAGATCGCATTATCTCAAATATTTTTGATCTTCGGAAATGGAGCAAATCCGTTTCCTGGCTTAGGCATGAATATTATTTTTCCTCCTCTGAAATATAAATATATGTTCAAACTTTACATATGCCGACTACATTCACGCATTTCCACGATTCCAAATGTGTTACTCGTTTTCATAAACCTTGCACTGTTGGTACATTGTGTAAATTAAGAAACAATGATCTCGTCGTTTTTAATATTTATTTAGCTATTTCATTTTATAATGCTGTAGAATTTACTGGATGGATCCCAGACAAAGAGACACGACATGTTAGTTAATACGTGAAGTTAAGCTTAAGCTGCTTCCAGAGTCAAATGTCACAAATCTGACCTAGTTCTCGTTTGTTTTGTGGTCTGTTTTTGTGCAGTTGTTCAGAGAGAGCGAGTAAAAATGACAGACACAAAAGTATAGAAGAGAAGGTTGAAGGCTGATAAAAGGAAAAGTTGGATCCACAGAAATTACCTGCATTATTCTCATTATAAGGAGCTTTTATTTGCCGAAAGGAAATCTGCAATCCCGTGGATTGCTAGGAAATATATATGGATGTGTATCATACTAGATTTGATGTGTTATTATCGTCGTAGTAGATTAGCGTGTCTTGGTGTATCTATCAAATAAATATCTAAATGTTAGATGAAGAATTATAACTGAATCGTATAGTTCTAGAAAGTGAAAGTTCTTACTTGTTAGCTTTTGTCGTAACCACATGTTGAGTATTACAAAAGTATGTATTAAGCTGTTGTTGTTGGTGAAAGTCATAAGTCCCAAAAAATAATATCAAACCATGATCGTGTACCTGCTTCACCCATTTGATAGAAACGTAGATTATTATTATAACAAAGGGTTAATCACCTTCCTCCTCCTCGTATTATGAATTGTGGTGGCTATCTGCTGTGAATGCATAAAAGTGAGAGATACTATTGTTCTCTAAATGGAATTATATCACTTGATACATACAAACAAACAGTATATTTAGTGCATATGTACATCTGAATTATCGATTTGGGAGTTCAAAAATGTAGTCCTTTGGATTAAATGATATGACAACGCTCTTAATGAGTTCTCCTATCTGTCAATGTGTATGGAACGGATTTAAGTAATAATGGGAAATTTAGAAGTATAAATTTGAAAAGGTATGCCGGATTATGAATTTGGGAATAAGCTGTATGCATTACACTAGTGGTGCTATTTTGGAATTAAGAAAGACAAAAGGAACCTGAACTGTATGCTTTACCTCAGCGGGGTTTAACTAAAAGGCAGGAATTTAGAAAGAATAATGCATGCAAATGGGAAGATAATATCGCGATTGAATTAAACGATGAGGTTGTCACAAGTTATGGAAAAAATGGGTTTCGTAGCTGGCTATAACTTAATCCGTATTCATATCATATCTCGTCACGTGCAAATTAATGTCCTATATTTAAAAAAGTGTATGGTTTTATCTCCTATATACAATGATGGTAAACATATGTGTGCTCTGTGTCTCTTGTCATAATAAGTACTTAATTAAGCCATTTAAAAGATTGATCTTTACAGACCCAATTCGTAAAAACGTACATATATTCTACATACAAATACTCGTAATATTGATTATCTGCATGGAGAGTGCATACATAATTGGCTTCAAACATCCAGTGCAAATTCTATCCATCAAGGAACAACATATAATTGTCCAAATATTTGATGATGTTACTGTAATAAATCTATGATTGGTGTAAAAATATATACGCGTAACTTTGTGACAATATGAGTAATTGTATTACATAATACCACATATGTAAATACATATGTGTCGTAATAACAGAATTAAGATATTTATGTAATAAAACATGTCATGTTTGTTGTAGATCAAATCAGATAGAAACTTGTTAATTGATTTGATATTTATGATATTGATGTAACGTTTTAAAAAGTTTTTCTATACGCCGCAACTGGATTTTTTCAGACGGACGATGGTCAAGTGGAGAGAATTAGTATATTTCATATCTTAATTATTTCATTGTTCGCACACACAAAGTCAACAAATGCTTTTTGGACCAATAACGAAAGCTGCATACATTTATACAAAAAAGATTGTTCAGTTATTTTCACACCTTAAATTATTACATTGTTTTTTTCGTTAATATACAGTTCATAATTTAAATGAAGTTGACTGTCTGTGCAGTCGATAGTGAATTTATTGTTGTTCTCGTAAAAGTATTTTGGTGTTGTAATGAAGTTCTTAAATAGTACAATTATTCCTAGACTGTAGATCTTATTGTTGTTAAATGTGTTGCTGTTGTTACAAATCAAAATTGTCGTCTCAATAAATGTATACGTACTTAAAGGGGGTGGTGGTGGGTGGGCGTCCGGTGCATTTATTTTTACACATTGCATACCAATTTTATCTTAATAATTGGATTCATTAAAAATATTTCACGTTTTCCTGGACAATAGATCCTTTGTCATTTGTATTATTTTTGGCAATCTAAGTGCGTTATGAAACCCAATAAATCAATTCCACGGTCGTCCCAATCATGAGCAAATAAACCATGAAACTCTATATGTCACTCTCGAATAATCGTGAAGATCTATGAATATAATGCATGTCATTACTACGCATAAAAATAGATGCTTCGAGTCTGTCAAATAGTTGGCTTGCATGAAATATATTTAGCATTATATAAAAATGGCGTCATGAAACAATTTGCAACGGACCACTGTCTCCGTGCCTTGTCACCCTGAATATATGTACATACTTACATTCTGACATCCTTATAGGTGATGGATTAATGGATGGAATAACTAAAGCACTTTGGTGGCCAAAACCTATGCACACAAACGGAATAACCGAGACATTAAATAAACATCGTTCTCATCAAGGACTATTATAAAAATGCTAACTTTAGTAAATTAATTTCTATTCCATCAATCATCAATTTTGATAATATTGTGTTTGCTCATTTAGTTAATGAGTTGTAGCTCATTCATGTTCATGCTTTATTTTCGCTGCATTCATGTAATTGAAGAAGCAGCGCTGTCGGACTCTGAAACACTTATTTTTACCATTCAGTCGACAGGTGCGGGTGCAGGTATGGACAGATCTCACGAACCTTATCAAATGTTTACAACACGAGGAGCTTGCTTATCTTATGACATGGTCTGAAATTATCTGTAATTGGTTACAATTCATGGTGACATCAAATTGTTGGCTTGTGTGATTTGTGTGAGTGTGCGTGATTTCTTCCGTTCTGAGTTTTATCTGAATCATCTGCAAATTGCAATTAGTCGAGTCGGCAGTATAGTGCGGATTCTGTTCCTGTGTCAACTTATCATTATTGGCGCAATAAATGATGATGCATTTTAACCGGAACTCGGAACTTGGTGTATCTCGTGTAATTTATTTCACAAACCTGGTGTAAATTTTATAGTGCAACATCGTGATCTGATTTTCAACTGTGAACCACTCAAGTTGAACAAGTATTTATTCAATAGTCAGAATGATCGCCATGAAAACATTAAAAAGTTGCAAAGTTTTAAGACATTGAAAGGACTGTTTGAAATTGGGATTTCAGAATTTCTGTGAGTGAGATTACGTAGCCCGAAAGTGACAGCGGCCCCACGACGAGCACGCAAAATGAAGTTTTGGAGGAGACTGTCAATTGTTATTATTGGGTTCGTCGAATCTCTCCTATTCAGCGGATGTCTTTTTGGATGGCCAAGTTTAATGTATGTCTTGCAGCAGGAAGGTGTCTACAGGTTGAGTTTACTTTACACCCCACAAATTCCTTCACTTTACATGGGAAATTCACTAAAAATAAATATTTTTGAAGCCATTTATGCATTGACGTCAACGACGGCATCGGTTCAGTAACACATTCTCCTCCTGATTTGATAACATCTTGGATAATACCAACTACTAGTCTACCGGAAAATCTCTTCCAATCCGCATATGACGATGATGACCAGAACATAAATGATACAAATGGTAGTGAGCCCATTACGTCTGACGCCAAGTCATTCGAGCAGAATGAAAATCAGACAATTTTTGAAGGAAAGGGACGACACGATGAAATTCAATCAAAAGATGTACTGATTCTTCTCTTACAAAAAAACTTACCACACGGCACAATAGATTTTTAAAATCTATAAAATCATATAATTCCATTTAGGAGAGGACTGTAAAGAACTGTAAAGAACAAGATGTTCAAATGACATTTATTTATACGGTGGCTGCCGTTTCTTACGGATTGACTTCCATACTCATCGGATTTTCACTTGACATTCTTGGTCTTTGGTTCACTCGAATTGGAGGATGGTAATTAAGACTAGAGTACAAAATATTCATGCAACTTACTTTTCGGTTATGAAAAGGGATGGATTTTTGCAAAGTTGTGATTGATGTTTTAGTATCATGACGAGTGGAGGATTCTTCTTCTTGGCATTTACTACAGAAGGTATGATGCCACTAATTCTTTCTCCGCATTTTAAAGTCTGTAATGAATACAAAAGTATTTAAGCAAAAGCACAAGTAGCCATTTCACAGGACAAGAACATTAAATGTTTAATGTAGGATATGAAGAGATTTATTCAAGCATTAATAAAGCTGGGTATTTCTTAATTGGTATAATCTTACTGTCATTTCAGCCAGCTCCTGGTTATTATGGCCGGCTTTAATCCTCATCGCGTTAGGCACTAGTCAATTACGTTTAAGCTCTTTCCAATTCGCAAACTTGTGGCCGGAATACAGGACAACGATACTAATTCTGTACAGCTCGGCTTACTCCGTCTCAACCACACTCTTTCTACTCATTCAAGTATGGTAAACTCTTTGTGTAACTCGCATTTTACAAAAATACGGCCTTCTTTAGTCAATTTAAACTAAAAGCCATTATTTACATACATATGCAGATAGCGTACGTAGGGAGTATTCCTTACAAAACTATTGGGCTGGCCCTTGCTGCAATTTCTCTCCTCACATTTCCACCAACCTTAATCATGCCAAGGATGAAGATTGAACCTCAAAAGCAGAAGGAGAAAGTGGCGAAGGGAAAAGTATCGAAGGAAAATGATGATGATGAAATTAAATTAAATCGAGCAAGCACCGAAGATAACGTTCCCCGCATTCTGCGAAACAAGGATGACGACAGCAAATTGATGAATCCTTTCGGTAAATAAAAAAATCTGGATAAATGCATAATGAAATGATTAGTATGCACATTTTGCACACTTGAGATTAGAGATTGCATTTGAGTGCATTGCACTGAATGAACACTAAGCGTCCATGTGAACAACAATTGATGCTACTTTTCTGATAATTGTGCTACAACATATTTCTGCATATTTAGATGAACCAGATTCTGGTGGAGAGAAGATGCGAAATAAAAAAAAACCCATCTCCGAAGACGTTCCTTTAAGTACGTCGATCTTCACGTTGTCTGCCGGATTACACGTTTTTTGGCAATGGATTACATTTTTCCTCGTGCTTTTCTACTCATCAACGTTCATGCTTTGGATTCAGATGACTACGAAAAATGCCAAAATGAGTAAAATCCTCTAAGCTATGTTTACGTGTATCGATTCTTAACTAAACTGCATATTACATTGTGCAGTTGAACATTATAACAAAATAAGTGGCGTTTGTGCATTGATCGCTCCAATTTTCATCCCCCTTGCCGGACTTGTTACTGACTGGCAAATCAGAAGAGCTGCCAAGAGTAAGTACTACAAAATTGATGGGAGACTCCATGCTTTTAAATTTCCAACTAGTCGAACTTATCGGAATTAATTAATCAGATGAAGACCGAGAGGAACGATTAGCTTTGACTATGCAAGCTCCAGCTTTGACCAAAGGAATTGCATCACTGTTCGTGATGGCGACCATGATTTGCAAAGTGTACTTTTCTCCGGCAGCCATCTACACGTCCATGATACTCATTGCTGTGTCGCGACCCTTCATTGTGGGCAGTTGTACTAGCTATCTTCAAATCAGGTACATATTTTTTGGACCTGCAGGGAGAACGTTTTTGTATTATGAATCATGGTATATTTTCTGAAAATTCGTCAAATTTCTTTAGGTTTCACCCAAGTCACTTTAATCGACTGAATGGAATCTTTACCACAATTGTGTCCATCATGTCACTAGTCCAATTCCCAATCATTCTTTGGATGAAGCAATCTTCCGATTCTTTTGTGCACGTATGTAAATATTCAATCGTCATAAGCGATGTCTGAAGTGTGTATAGTACAAACTATTATGGAATATTTATTACTTGGCAGGCTCAACTCTTTCTGATGGGATTGCTAATACTGGCTTTCTCCAGTCCTGGTCATATGATGATAAAATCTGTGGCAAGAAGGTATGCGAGGGCACAACTCAAATTTCGGACGGACGTTTAAGAAATCTGTTTCTTTGTATTGTAAAGAAGGATTACATTAGTAATGAGATAATACATATATAGTAACTCATATGTATTGTATACATAGATATATATATAAGAATAACATATAATTTAATTTACATCTATTTTGAATGACTGGGTGGGTTACATTAGAAAATATAAAAAGGAGCATTTAACGCAGCAACGCTTGCAATGGTCAAAACTAGTAATGATTATGGACAATTTTGAGTTAAAAACATTTTAAGCTATATAGAAGGCTACACATTTAAATTATGATTTGAACGAGACTATTAACGAAACGTATAAATTCTTTTAGAGAGTTATAAAAAGTTGTACGTGGGGGTTGTATAATTAGTCAATTACCTTAAGCAAAGAGTGACTGCTTCAAGACATATATATGTATGTATGTATATAAATAACTAATATATAATGTAATAAAAACTCTATATTATGTATAAATTAGACTTTGCACAAAAATGAGTCAATTATCTTTAGTTACATAGTAGTAAGTCAAGTTGTACAAATAGTTGTGTTTGTTGCGGCAAACATGTTAAAAAGTAAATTCTGTGTTTAATGACCAGGAGGTCTCTCACGTCGTTATATAGCATAATATTAACAATAATTATCGTAGTCATATTACTAGGCAATTGTTCCATACAAAATCACTTATCCACTCCACATTCTGGCAATTTCTTATAATAGGCTAATTTTTCTTTAAAAAGAGGTGGTGGTTCTAGAAACTTGCACCCCTCTTTTACAGGTGATAATGTAGTTGTGCAAGTTTCATCTTCGGAAGTTGTGGACTTTGATTTTTCTGTATATTCTGCATTACGACGGGCTTCTTCTTCGAGCTCGCGTAATATATCTTCAGAATCTTCAAGATACACAGGTCGAGGGGGCGAAACTTCACCAATTTTCTAGAAAAATATGTATATGCCACGTTAACAAATATTACCCACTTGGTGTGAAATTTAGAGGAACCACTGCATAATTTAAATAAAAGCATAATACGGTCCTCATACCTCAAACATCGGCGATTCATCTTCTGATTCGTCATCCTCTTCCACAAAAGCTTCATCCTCGTATGAACACGTTTCCATTTCTTCATCGTCTTTTGCTTCTTGGTTCCAACCATTGACTTGAACAAGGTCTTTGTTTTCACTTGAAATATTGTTGGACTGACTATCACTGTCAATGCTGCTAGCCTTCTGGGCATTAAAAACATTGCTGGGATCGGACAATTCTGTCGAGGAGGACACAGGAGACTCTGGAGGTGGTGGGGGAGGGAAAGGAGGGCTCTCATTTCTAACGGGTGGTGGTGGTTGTGGTGGGAGGGCCGGCGGCAGCGGCCTCCATGATGGTTGTGGTGGTGGTGGTGGGGGAGGATCATATGGAGGGGGTGGTGGTGGGACGGGGAAACATAAGTCAGATCCAGCTTCTTGGAAAGGTATACTTTGAGTAGTTTCTTGGCTAGTTTCTGCGGATTCTTGACCATTTTCCACCTTAATTTTTGTGTCACTATCTGCTACTTCTTCCTCCTTTTGATGCTTCCTATCACAGCCCATATAGTCGAAGGTTTCGTCTTCGATTACGGGAATAAATTCAGCTCCCATTTTGCCTCGTAAACATTGGGCAACAATATTTTCAATCCCGGGTTTAAAAAATGGTGCCCTAAAGATGAAACATTTTACTCAAGGTTTAATCACTCTATATTAATTCTATAAATTATAAATGCACACTGACTCTTCTATCCTTTTCCGCATTTGGATCCTAGCATTCATTTTAGGAAACGTTGGCGTCCACGTCAACCCGCGCAGGAATGCGTCCACCGTCGTTGTCACTCTTGAATGCAGATTCATAAATGAAGACTATAAATATAGCAAGAGTAAATTATTATTAATATTCTATTTCTCATATCACAAATAACAATAACTCAATATTATTAATTGACTTTTCGAATACATACATACCTTTGAATCAGACTCGGACAAGCATTCTCTTCTAAACTTGTCAAAAATTCCTTTAGTCTTTAGCTGGCTTATCACTCCATCGGCAACTACGTTAATGTCAGGTTTTTCTTTTTTCGGCTTCTTAGGTTTCTTAGGTGGTCTACCCGGTCCAGCGACCCCATTTAAATACTCTTCTTGCCCATAAACACCCTGCGGATGATAGGGGTAGTTATGTGGTGGTGGTGGCGCTCCCCCAGGTATATAGACGCCGGGAGGTCCGACAGGGGGTGGTGGAGGGTGTTGACGTTGTTCAAGAGATCCAGCGATGGGGTGATGTGGGTGATGGGGAGGAAGTGAATGATTGTTGTGATTTCCCCGGTTTTCATGATGAAGTTGTTCAGGCGTATGGTTGTAGAAGGGAGGCTCTCGTGGGGGTGGCGTATAGTAGGACTCTGAACTTTGGTATCCTTCCAGTTTAACAGTAGGAGGGGTGCGCCGACCGGAGTAGGATGATTTAGGAGCATTATTAGAAGACGAGTAGGAACTCCGATACTTGTCATTAGACCTTGGAGGAGAATGACTGTCTGCTGGGACAATCCTTCTCGGCGGGGAATGGTTTCGTGAACCTCGATTATAGTATCTGCTTCGCTGCAAAATGTACAAAACAAATTGTGATTACAAATTGCAGCTGATTGTCCCTTTATTTACATAATTGTAAACAAAGAGCAACTTTTATAAATCTTGCAAAATGAGAAAGGAAAATATAAATGAATATGAATTATTTTTATGAAAAAAACCTACATTATTATCATTACTGCTACTACTATTATTATTGTAATAACTCCTCGATCTATAACTTCTGTCCCTGTCTCTGTCCCTGTCCCGATGATCTCTCGTTCTGCCATAATCCCCCCGACTATAGCTACGACTGCTCCCACTACTCCCATAATTCGAGGACATATTAACAGCAGCAATTATTCCTAGGTCTCCTCCCCCTACTCCCCGTTCCCCCCCTTTTAGGAAAATCTCTCGACGACTAATTTAATTAAATTGAAATTCTGAGTTTTCGTCTTCAGCTCAGCTCAGATTTCCCTCAACTGGTGTGAGTGGTGGTGGCTACTCTGTAATAACCCCATTGCATGTGAGGGGCCGTGCAAAACTTCGTCCCCACTTCATCTCCATGGCCTCAACTCGCAAATTGGAGGAGGAATCAGACATTGCGGCCGAGTGATGAAAATAGTTAGGTACTGGGCACCGCGTGGGGCAGTGTGACTTGCCAAAGTGTGCTTGCTAGCCCGCTGCCATGAATCAGCCGTGGTGGTGAGAATCAGTTTTAGTGCACTTTTGCTGCTGGACTTGGTTGGTTGGGTGGTAGGGTTGGGTGCTGCTCGATAAACGATACACGATAAATATTTACATCTTCTATTTGATCAGTTACTAAAAAGAGGAGAAGTGTGGTGGGTGCGACGGCGACCACAACGACGACAACAACCCCTCCTCCCCTCGTACTTCCAGCCAGCATCGCCACGATGACGCTCGCCCTCGACGACACCGACGAGTACGAGTCGTTGCCGTCGGGCAGTGTTATCACTCACATGATTGCCGGGGCCATCGCTGGAACGGCGGAGCACTGTGTCATGTACCCTTTAGATTCGGTTAAGGTAATTGATGAAATTATGGATCATCTTCATCTCGTACATTTCATTCTTTCTTGGCTGTATCGGGGGCATATTGGTGATGGTGGTGGTGATAATTGTCCAGTCCCGTCTCTGCAGGGTACGCCGGCCACGCAGCATATTTCACATATCGTCACAACCAGGAACCGGAAGCCAGTTTGAACCCTATTGTTGCATTTCTTGAGTGACACGAAGAACTGGGTCATGTTTGAGTATACGGTTCGATCAGGGCATGGCTTTTCGTGCTAAAATCAGTTATTGGTAAACAAATCCAGGAGGAATTCATAGGAAAATTGAACGAGGTTACATAATGTCAATCACACTGCCTTGCAAATTGAACAGGGTCATGTAATCGGTCAATTTGTGATGGGTGAGGTGAGTTGGCAATGTTTAGGGATGTATAAATTTCAACGAAATAGTGTGATATTTTTTTCTCCTAGCTAACCAACATTCAGTATTATCATATTATTATTATGTCACTGTCAGGTTCAGACTATTAGACAGTGGACACACAACTGTTGGAATATGTTAAAAGCAGATTGTCATTATTCTGATGATTTCCATTAATAGTATTGTCTTCTTGAGTGAGGTATACTTTTATTATTTCGAAATATTCACCGGATGGCAGCGAGTTTGTGATGAATGATCTGAGCACCTTCATATAGACATAGGCCCGGTTAGAAGAGGTATCGTACTTTAGTTTAAATCAAGTCGACGAGTATACATTTGAATGGTGAGCTGGTGCACATGGGTTTGTGAAGAACGTCATAATCATCTGCAATTCAATAGATTAATTCAGAGTCCACACATCATTCAGTGTTACTATTACTACAACAGCAGGCATGGGATTGATATCAGAATAAGAAGAGTCAGTCAGTGGGGCATACATTTTATTAAGCCATCACCAGCATCACCATCATCATCATACAATTTTTAGTTAAAGATTGGAGGATGGGTTAACTGGCTAGTTCTTCTCCTTTATCTGTCTGGATAAACTAAATTTTGGGCTTATTATTATATTGCCTTTTTCCATGATCAGCAGGATAAGTAGGTGTACTTTGGCAATAGTTTAATGGTCTCAGAGACCCACATTTACACATCAATTGATAAAAAGAATTCAGTCTTGAGAAGGACTAATTAATTCATAATGTAATATATTGTAAATAATAAGTAGGTAGCTAGGAAAAATGGGTAGTATGATGGCATATATCTTTTCTTCTCAAGCCATGATGGGGATGAATGAGTGCAAAACTGATGTGCAAGAATTGATGGCGTCGAAGGCCGCTTTTTTGTCACCCAAGTTCATGCTGACGGTGACGAGTGGTTGCAATACGTACATACATTTAATTTTCGCTCATGACATTGGATATTGTAACTTGCTTTATAAACTATGTATATGCGTTAGCCACGTAATACTAGTACTACTAGCTTAATAGTAGTTTTTATATGGGAAATGCACAGGTAGATTTGCAAAATCATGATGGACACTTCAAAATTAGTGTCGCGTGAGATTATATATAGAATATGCTAAAAGTGATTTTACTTATGAGAAAGGTGAACATGGGCAACTGATTTCCAGGCATTGTTGAAAGTTTTTAATCATAATATTTATTATTCTTGGAAGCTTTGGAATTCTGAGCCATTAAATCGGTTGCGTGGGATAGCATGATCATAAGGGTAGGCGTCCCCGCAAGTACCACGTGTTAAGTCATAAGTTAGGATGTGACTATTATGTTCCTATGTTTGAAATGGCAAATTCCTCTGCATATTTTCCTTCCTAACGTCTTTATGGAATTTCGGACTCAATCATTAATGTTGTTTCGTCACAATATGAAACGTTTTAAGGAATAATAGTTTTTGCTTAATAATGGTTTACTATTTAGGCTTCGTTTTTTAACAAATTGGTTGATTGGTTGATGATGATGCGAGATAGAGAGATAGTCGATGAGTCATCATTGTCCTGTGATAAACTTATCAGTTGTATTTAACTCATTTATTTGAAGACGTACATTTTTAGGTACCACACAATTTTTGAATGCTATAAATTTTACGAGCGTTTGTTGGTCGATTCTCACGTAAATACCATTGGCGTCTCAAAACTTGAAATTCGACACTTTTTATGTCCTCATTGTCCTGCTTATCATGAAAAAATAAAATACGGCCATAAAAATTAAACTATAATTAACCAAAACAACCTGAACCATTCATCTAAGATAGATATTATCGATTGTTTGAAAATATCACATCTAATGTTGACCAGGCTGCATAAAAATCACAACCGTGAGAACGCGAAACCGTGAGAATGATTACTGAAATATAAATAGTGCTTAACGGGAAATATTTATTTTAATTGCAAATTGATATGTATAACATTCAACAAGACATAAGATAATTACCACGATGAAGAATGCCATTGATGATTCATGGTCTGCGTGCTCTTAATTATAGATTTAAGGTTGGTGTCAAAGGTGTCACATTATAATGGTCAAATATATAAAACACGTAATACACATTGACACCTCTGTCCGACGTAATAATAAAAGTCGTTAAATCAGTCAATAAAATCCGGTAGCCAAAATAGTCTGGAAGAAATGTAAAATGAATGCATGAGCCAAGTCCATTAAGAAATTATGTATTGCAATCTGACCTGTCGTTCTCATTACTGGAACCAATTATGTAAAAGGTTAACGGCTTTGGAAATCGGACCTTAAGTCGGATGATGACGCTGATGGAAGTAAAATGTCTAACTTTATATTTCTGGAAATTTCAGACTAGGATGCAGAGTCTGGTGCCGACGCCGGGGGGCGAGTATCGAGGAGTAATGAACACGTTGACCCAGATGGTTCGCACAGAAGGCGTCTTCCGACCGGTGCGCGGCATGAGCGCCGTGATGATTGGAGCGGGACCTGCTCATGCTTTATACTTTTCTTGTTATGAACGAATTAAGGAAATTCTGGCAACCCACACGGCTGCTGCCGGTTTTAATAACTTAATCTACGGTGAGCTGCCTAATATAAATTGTACAATAAATGTAACCCTGTTACTAATTCCGTGTATTAATATCACAACAGTTTTCCCTATTTCAGGGGCCGCTGGCTGCCTCGCAACGCTGTTTCACGACGGAATCATGACACCAGCAGATGGTAAAATCAAATTTATAATAAATATTATAACGTTTTAAAGGAATAATTCGTCATTTTTAACAATTTATTGTTGCATCTTTTTTTATAGTCGTGAAACAGCGTATGCAAATGTATAATAGTCCATACAAATCGTGCTGGGACTGCGTTAAAAAGACTTATCACACGGAAGGCGCACATGCATTCTACAGATCATACACAACACAACTAGGAATGAATATCCCCTTTCAAAGTATCCACTTTATGGTCTATGAATTTATGCAGAGGATAACAAATAAGGTAAGTTTTGACACACTACGAATTTAAAGTTTGTTTTGTACATACCTAACGATTTTTAACATTGCTCAAAATTGTGATTAAATGTAATTAGGAGAGAAGGTACAATCCCAAGGCTCATATGGTGTCTGGAGCTATGGCCGGTATGTAATTATAACGTGCATGTATATGTAATTACTTGATAGATGATTGACTAACATGAGCACATGGACAAAGGTTGTTTGATATAAAAACTATGACTATTTTCAGGTGCTATTGCTTCTGCTATTACCACTCCATTAGATGTTTGTAAGACGCTTTTGAACACTCAAGAGAGATCTGCTCTGAATACACTGGGAAGGTCGCAAATCAGCGGACTTGCTGTGGCCTTCAAAACCGTTTATAGGTTGGGTGGTCCCAAAGGATATTTTCAGGTATGTCATGCCAGAATATTACTCATTATTGTAACGATGGTTGTTTATTAGAGAAAAATAATATGCCTACAAGTGCAGAGTTACTTTGTTGAATTTACACAAACAACTCCTACGAAGACAGTAATGATATAATATGATATGTTTCTAAATTGTGCAGGGGCTCTCTGCTCGTGTTTTATACCAGATGCCATCAACTGCTATTTGCTGGTCAGTTTACGAATTTTTCAAATTCGCAATGGGTGCTCATGAGGTGGAAACTCCCCCTGCTGCTCCTTCATCCAGTGGACATGTTATCGATTGACAATAAAATACGACCCACGCAATTGTTTTCCTAACTAATTAATTAAATCAATAGAATCTATAAATATATATAAAAAATATAGCTAAATATATCTACGTCATGACTTCGAAAATAAACGTGCAGTGTGGATACCCCCTTCATTACCGATTTTTATGTATCTTACCTGTACGATATCCTGAAAAGTTCTCATCAGGCAACCGTACTGGCTTATTTCAATCCTATTATCGAGATAATATATTTGATGAATTTCCAATCTATGTTTTAGATCAATGTCTTTTTGTACAATTCATCATATTTTAAGCAGTATGTCCTTGTATAGCTCGTCTAGTTTTCAAATGCGGAATTCAATTATTTCTCTCTATCTATCTACACGTATTCATAGGGTACTTATGATTAATTCTGTTTTTAAGGGATCCGCCTTCTATGTCACTCGTAAAAGTACCCAGTGAATAAACTATTATCATATAGAGTCATTCCTTACTCGACATTGACAATCTAGAAAAAAGGAAAGCAAATTCTGCATTATTATTTAGCCATGATTAATTAAATTTAGGCAAGCTTCGAAGGTAGAAATTAAAATCGTAAATTTTGGGTTGAATATATTTAGTAAATATTTGTGTTGTCAAAATTGTGCAGCAAGCCCTCTGCCATTTGACATGTTGAGTTCAATTCAATGTCAGAGTCCCCACTGCGATTAAGGAATTGGTCGTGAATTGTATCAGCCCCCAACCAACCAAGGTCTTGATTCATGCCACCACCTTTCCACACAAATGTACTCGTATTAGTCCTCTCGTCGTCGTCCTTCCCATCTTGTTACGTAATGATATATATATCACGAACTACACTACTTGAGCAACCCATCAGAATATATTTTTAAATCCAAGCCAGCAAGCCAAGAAAGAAGGATTCGTTACATGTATGTACACCATAAAGAGTTGTTTAAAAATGTGTGTACCTGAAATGTATGCATGATTTAATAATAATCTTTAATAAAATTCATGTGTGAACTTATTATAAAAGAAAACTTGTAGAGAAATTTTCTGTAAAAAAAACAGTAACATTTTAATAAGCATGTTTTTTTATTGGTACGGTCGATTACTTGTAATAACGTGCATATTGATTTCTTCTGTCGTACGTATGTATGTATGATGTACCTACCTGAAAAGGGTGCTCAGATTTTCTTTGACTTTCTCCGGCATAATATTTTACCGTAATATAAATGTCGTACACTTTCACATACAATGCATATTTCTGCCTCGGCTCATTGCTTTTCAAGAAACTTTCTTCCTTTTTTCAGATCGGAACTACGGCGCACCAAAGTGAAAGCTGGGTATACACATATGCACATACATACATGTGTGAATCTATAGTTCAGTTTGTGAGACTGAATTGATCAAGTGTGTAAATAACAACAATGAGAGTAAAAAGGAGTATGTAAAAAGCGGCGAGTAATACGTATTTGGGTCGTTCCTCGTTCGAAATATGGGTTAAATTCATGCAAAATATTGCAACACAATTGTAAATATTTAGTAGCAGGCGGAAAGACAGGCACAGCGGTGAATTTCTCGCGTTCTTTTGTGGTATCCTTGTAAAAAGAGAAAGCTCTTTTCTCTCGTCTTTTGCAGATTGTGCATACTCTTTTTCCTCAATTCTTTTACTTGTATATGTTGATGATGATGGTGGTACAGCTTCCCTCCCACTGTACTCGTACATCCTTCTCTCTTACTTTGCAGGATTGCTTTCTCTCGACAAATGATATTTGCCTTTGACTGTCACAAAAGTTTAACTGTTTTTTCTGAAAATGTTCCTCTGGAATCAAAAGAATACTAAGGAAATGAAAGGATGAAACGTTGTACGAGTCTGAAACTCGTGTTGTGAGTCGGGGGAGGATTGTTATTTTTGTTTTTTTTTCAAACTAATATATTTGAATACAAAATTTGTAAAATAGGTCACAAACAGCCTGTTTACGTATAGTTGGATGATCAAGAGGAAGGAAGATCATTGTTTTTTTGTGACACAATTTGATAGGAAATAAAGACTTTGAAGGTAGGCAAGTTTATGCCTTTTAACAAATTTGGAGGAGGAAAAATCAATGTTATCTATTAGCAGCAGCTAACACCGGCAGATTATACTCAGGCGACCTTTTTGTTTAGGTAAAAAACGAGAATCTATTAACTTGACATTATTCAGATACCTGGTTTATAATTGAAAATAGTTGCGAGATTGTTATTTTTATCGAACTTTACGTAATTTTGCCCACCTTATGAAACTCTAGCCGTCTTCCAATTATGAGGAAACATTTCAGGAGCAGGAAACAATAGTGACGGCTCAGTTTACTGGAAGGCCACCTTGATGTGTACCGTTTCAAGCCTATGCCTCTGAGAATATACCCATCGCCAGGGCGTTCAAAATTTTGACATTTATTTGCACAAGAGATTACCACTACTGCCCTTAAAACTAAAACTTGTTATACCTTTGTAGTTTAAATTTAGGCATTATTATACAATCGCAATATAGCATTCTGTTACTCGTAACTTTTACATGTATAAATACGTATGTATTAGTTATCAAAAGTTAGTATATGTAACCACCAAAAGTTCTTCCCCTTTTATGTAGGTGGATGGATAACGATACTGACAAATTAAATAATCATGAGTTATATGTAGGGTAAGTATTAGATATGTTGTTACTGGAGTTCAGGGTTTGAACTGTGATAATCGTACTTTGTGATTTACATAGATGTGATTTGTAATTTTCACACCCTGTGATTTTTTAAATTACTGGGGAGAAAGTGAAACAACTTCTTTAAAATGCATTCTAGGACAAACCCAACTTTATATTGGGATTCAGCATGAAATTCTGAACATTTTTCTATGCGACTTGAGCCGATTAGGACAAAGTTCCATTTTACATTTGATTTACATGTTAAAGATGAGAGTTGGTCAATGCACATTGAGTAGCGATAGCACAAAGAAAAATAACAGCACAATGTGATTGTACAGATAACCACTGTGATTTGACTATTTAAACCTTACTAGATTTAATTATTTATACCCGTAAATGTAGAATTATATAAAAAAAACTTTCCTAATCTGCGCTAACTGAGGTCAGGGCCAGGTCAGATAATATGTTACTTGTTGTGCATTACAGAAAAGCATTGCCACCTTGTTAGCCCCATTTTCTGATCTAATCTATACTTCCAATCATTGAATGGTTGACAGTGCAGATAACGAAATATGTAACTGGACAATTGTGAGACTGGAATCCCTGTAATGAAATCAATTTAGGTATAATGACAACGAGTATGTAACCAGTACGCTGTATTTTTGTGCTATGCTGCCAAGGTTTGCTTATCTTGATGAAACCTTGTTGATTTCTTGACAGCACTCTCCAACAAATGCATACATCAGCATTATGTACGTAGGCGACTCACTTTCTCAAACTGTTTCGCCAGAGATACGTAATACCCGATAAGGTAAACGTGCTCATAATAGATGCGTCAGATACATAATACATTCATAATATTATACTTCTTCTTGCACTCTTACGTTCTTGGCTGACACGGAATTGGGTTCAATATCAGCACATTACATCAAAATTATGAAGTTGACTAGACGTCTTGTTTCATAATCTTAGTTCCAGCCTAAGAACGAAGGAACGGAAGTTACAAGAGTCTGCAAGAGAGATGAACTATTATGAATTTCGTCCTCCGGCATAATTTACTCGCTCGCTCCTTGGATGATGATGACTGATTCGCAGCAGCGAGTTTTTACTTTCTTAAGAAATTAAAGTAGCCTGTTGATTTTTAGAAGCGTATAAAACTTAACACTGCATCAGGATCAAATGCATACATACGTTTGTGCATTTAGAACTCACCGTATTTGGATGCCAGTCAGACGGGCAGACATGACCTGGAGAAAGCGGGTCAGAAAAATTAAGTGTATCACCATGGCCAAATTATAGCCCGGGGAGACAGAGATGGCTAGTTATTGAGAAATGAATGAATATATATGAAGAATGAGCACACACGTAGCTTTTAAACGTACGTTTCAAACCATGATCAACTTTCTTTGATCCCATTCGCTCATCCCTCAGGCTCAGGAAAATCACTTAATCCTTTGAGAAGAAAGTCAGCAGGTTTGGTGATGTGGCTGAATCTCGTTTGCTTTCTCCTCGCTCCTTCTTCGCTCTACACCTGATAAGAGATGAATCTTCCTCTAATGTGCCATGAGAAAAATGTCGTTCACAAGATTATCTAATTTGCTCATCGTACCCCCATATTTTTTGTCTCATGTCAACCCATGAAAAAATAAAAACTAATCCACCTTTCTTTTGCATTACGGTGTGTATTTTTGGATTGCCCACTCTACTTCTTTTCAGGTCACTGTTGCAATAATAATGATTTATTTCGTCTCAGACAATGACAATTCTCGAGTGGTTGTTGCATATGCAGTACTAAAATATACAGAATTTTTTAATAGTGTATTTAATTAAGGACTAATTCAGGTTCAGAACAAATATTAAAATATTTTCACAACTTTATGGCAAAAGAAAAAAGTTGTGTATAGTTTGTCTATTGTTGAGTCATTTTTAAGCGAAACGAGCAAAGTAGCGTATTATGCATATTGTACATGCATGTAAATTCCTCCAAATAGATTTAGGCAATATTTTAATTTATAGTTCAGATTTTAAAGCGTTATTCGTATTATTTATTCACATAAATCTTAATTTAGAAAAAAATATTTTTAAATTGTTATCGTGTGTTACATCTTTTTTGACCAAAACCTCAGAAAATTTAGTCCATTGAGCTTTCTACAATTCACGAAAGCTAACTGTCGTTCCATTGCACTACTAAATCACAGTCTGACAATCACAGTCGTTATACACTCAACATAGTCCAAGTAAGACAATAAGTCTATTAATCGTTGAACAGCAACCTCAGCTATTTTTGACCAGCTTTTGTGACCTGATTCTCAAGGGTTTAAAGCTTTATGTAATTATAAAATGGGGTCTAAAATAAATCCAAGTATATTAATTTCAATCATATATCGTGACTATAATTTTACATGCACATAATCATCATGACTATTAATTCCCGTTCCATACATATTCAATTTCCTCAGACTACGTAAAGATACACAAATCGATTTTACTAACCCTGGAGAAGTACGGCAAGAAGAAGTCAAGCTTTATCATTTCACAAAGCAGTTCAAAGCGTGGTTAGTTCTATTGTACTTGCACGATCAAATCCAAGCGAATGTGAATGGGACAGTCACTCCATGCGGCTCGGAAATCGTATGTTATGTCACGACGGTTTTGCTGGGTGATTTCCCTGTGACAAAGTAATCTCTTACATATCCAAGCCAGAACCAAATCGTTTCCTCAGAAATATTACTTCAACTTCAAATGACTTTTATATAACCAGGCGGCCAGACTACCTACGTACATGCATATGTATGCATTTCGTAAGATCTGCTAATTTCAGAATGGAACAAATCATTGCAACCGTAGAATATGACGTTTTGTGACGATTTGTTGATCCGTTTTTATGTCAGAACTCTTTCCGATCAGGTGTAGGAGTGAGTAATAGAATTAATCCTGACGACTGTGGTCAATTTAGTAAAATCTGCTGCCACATTATTATTAGTATTGTTATCAAACCTTGCTAGTTTTCCAAGTGAACTTGAAAATATATGTAACTTTTGTTTGATTTCTGTTATGTCTAGATTTAATCTTCTCCGGTGATTCATAATCTCCGGTGTGTTGTCCAGACGGAATGACATGACTTCATCTGCGATCAAAATGTGTGAAATTGATTATGTTCCTCGTATGATGAATACTCGGAAAGACGGAAATACGTAGGTGTTTTATTATTGATTTTCAAACGATATGTTCCGCACTGTTTGTGACCAAACTTTTGATGAAATAACAAACGTCAAATACATTTAAGAGGCTGTGATTTTTTTCAGCTCTGTGGGTTAACATAAACACTAGCAATAAATCAGCAAACTTTACCTCGACGGAAAAAATGTCATATTTGCAAATTAAATACCCTAGTGTGATTTAATTTTTAATGCTGGAGGGGCAATCCGTGTCGCAGATTTATGATTGTATGCTTAATGTTTACGATGAAAACTGCCAAGCACAAAGCACAATATAAATTGGGTCAATAACTTCAAATGATGGCGAAAAGAGGTCATTGACAAAAAAATCGCCAGGACGCTCAAAATCCGTTTCCTCCACAGGAAACCTTCAGAAACTAGAGAACCAATAATGAGAGATCCACGATTGAAACTGTCCAATTTAGCTGATGAGATGGGTGTTCAAAAACCAGCAATTTGTTCCATGTTAACTGAAGACTTGGGTATGAAAATGGTTTCCGCCCATAGGGTACCAAAATTGTACTCTCCATCCCAAAAACTGGATCGAGTCGACTTTTGTAATGAAGATTTTGACCTTTTAGATGAAAACTGGAACCTGATTTATACTTCAGTAGTTGGATATGATACTTGGGTTTACTACTGTGATAATGAGACCAAACTATAATCTATGCAATGGAAACACAGGGGGTCACCGCCGCCCGTGAACGCAAAAGTGCAAAAATCTACCAAAAAATGGAAGATGACCATTTTCTGTGAAACCTAAGGTACCCTCCCTATAAAATTTATTGCCTGAAATACTACGATAAATGTGGCATCATATGCAGAAAGCCCGAAGGAGCTGCATGCTACGGTTGAAAAGAAACGTGGGGTCAAAGAAAAGAGTTGGGTGCATCTTTGACACGACAACGCGTCACCAAATACCTCGCTGGTTTCGAGGGATGCTGCAGACGAAAATCGCTTCACCGTCATAAACCACCTCCCGTACAGTCCAGATTGGACCCTTACTGATTATTATTCGTTTCGAAAGTTGGACACAAACATCAAGGGGAAAGGTGATAATGAAATCAAATCGTAAATTTTTGAGTATTTTCGAGGTAAATTTTACTGATTTACTGCTAGTGTTAATGTTAACCTACGGAACCGAAAAAAATCACAGCCTCCTAAATGTATTTGAAGTATGTTATTTCGTGAAAAGTGTGGTCAGAAACAGTGCGGAACATACCTTTTGAAAATCAATAATAAAACACCCACGTATATTTGTTTATGTTCGTCTGAGTTTAAAGGTGAGATGTCAAATTGCTACAAAAATGGAGTGAATGATGCAGACTTGGGTCCTGATGCATCACCGTCTGAAAATTGGATCAGGCGTAAATGGTTTTCCTCTGCACACATATGTGCAGTGCCATTTTCTATTTTAATTTAGCTATGTGGGTGATGAAGCCATAATGAAACCTAAAATATCAATCGTATAATACGATTCGTATTGATGGCTTAAATATTAACCCACGATTGTAGCGCTGTCATTTACTCGATTAAAGACAAGAATTCGTCACCAGCGATTCGAAATTATTAACTTATGATTTATAGATAAATTCGTCTACAGGAAATCTATCAAAACCCTGGTGGCTGTGTACCATATTCTTATTTTACGACGACTTCAGTTCATATTGGAAAGTAAAGTCTTCCTCGTGCAGAGTACCTTCAGGAAATTGAACATCACATGCAACTTGTGTAGTCAGCCATAAAATCATTGATCGCTATTTGCCCTATTGCAAAAGTCAATGTCGCTGGATGGTGGGTGTAACAAAACTTGCATATAAAAGTGCCCAGTAAGGTGTGGGAAAACCTGGCTTCACTTATTTTTAATGACAGGTACAGTTTCCCTTTCTGTTTTCTGCCATAATTAATACACGTTTTATTAGTGTACACACACTCGCGAAATGGCCAAAGTTAATTCGAAGTATTCACACCACTCGTATATATAAAACTTTTCCCAGCGTAACCAATTTATGGAGGCGAACGAACACAATATCCGCGACGGTAATGGAGGTTTCCTTTATGCGCACTTTATTACGAGACAATTGTTTACGTTATAATTGAGTGGGCGCTTATATTAACTTCTTGGAACTCATTGAAAGTTTGGGTCGAACGAAAGGAATACTCCATCAAATTTTCAGTGAACATGATCCAACTGTTATTTCAACTAATTTGTACATACGATATCATTGATTTTCTACCCTCCCACAGATTTCGTGGGTGCTTGTGGGAAACTTGACTAAAATTTCGTAAGTTTAATGCCACCTCGCCACGTGGGTTTTAGAACAAATTAAAGTTTTAATGACGTCTATCTTCTTGACTGACTGACCTACTACACATGTATGCATGCTTAGTTGCATAATCCTCATTATGAGGCTAAAATTATGAATGAAAGTTTCATTACATAGCTCCCGTGACACATACTGTGGTGTAAAAATAGACCAAAACAAGCATAGTTTTAGCAACTGAAATTAGTACGAGAAATATTGCATAAAAATACGAGACTAAAATATGACTAGTAATAATTTGAGTGTGATTGGTGCTTATCTGTGTAATGATTTCTTATATTACGGCAATAACGATTTTAGCTCAAAAATACAGAATTCAGCACAATTTTCTTTCTTCTTGGCTCCAACATAGAATATATAGCTAAAGGTCATAAAGACAAGACTACGTTAGTCAACGACAAGGAAAAATACATACCTAGAAAAATCGCAAAATATTATGTTTTGGTACAAGGAAGATGAGGCCGATTTATTTATTTGACCTTTGACCAATGTTATCAAATTAGGAGTTACATAAACTTTCATTTTACAGAAATTACATATTATACTTTTCTTCCTCTTGTAGAAACCAGGCACACATCAAGTAACGTTGTGGGAAATTTCTTACAAACTGAATGAGCCTTGTGGTTTTGTAAAGGAATTGAAGTTCAGAAAATGATTTTCGATAGAAATTGAATGAAAGAACGATGATTGACCATGATTCAGATAAATGCTGAATTGCAATTATGTACATAAGAAATCTTTTGAGGATTGATTTCAGGAAATTCGTTTCGAAAAATTGGTTAATTTGCTTATTTCCAAGTTTTATTCTGACCTTTATGTAACACTCGTACGTAATGAAAGACACGTGCAGTACAGCATTGTATATGTTTTTCTTACTAAAAAAGCCAAAGTATTTTTGTGCGTTCCGACGCTTGATAAAACCGCTGGCCTGTCATCTCATCAAGTCGTAGGAAAAGACGACATGACCGGTTGTTGCCTGTCGTGGGCTGTGGGTGTAGTTACTTAAGTCTCTCCACTCGTAACGTATCGAGACAATGAGAGACAAACCTTTTTTGTCCCACGACTGACCGTGTAGGTTCTCAGATTCAGATCTAATTCTCAGATAAATAAATCAATTAATTCAGACAATTAGTCTTTGTCAGGTTGTGACAGGTTTCCCCAGAATCAGCGACAATCTTTAAGCTCGCTACAAACAAAGATCAATTTCTCCAGTTAACCTCGACTACTTACAGTTTGAAAAAAAAACACAGCGCTGCTGCTGCTGCATCAATCCAATCCCATTCCATCCCATCCCCCATTCTTCGCCCGAAATAAATTACTTCAGATAACTACTTTCCAGAATTAGTGGCAAATTGCGCGAGAAACATAGTGCTCCAAGGAATTTGCAATTAAAAAAGTAAGTAAAAGAAAGCGATAAGACGCTCGCTTTTTCGTTTTGCAATGGAAAACCGAAGCGTTGGTGGGCACTCGATCTAATCCTCTCTCACCACCGTTGCACTTTCTTCTACGTCTCACCCAACCCACAACTGAGTCCACCCTGAACCCACTGAACATTGCAGAACTACTTTCATTTCCCGGATCTGGACTCAGTTCGATCTCGGTGGTTGATCAGTAAGCAGTGGTTGGTTGAGCAGTTCTTGTCCAAATTTTGCAACATTTTCGCATTTTTATTCTGAGAAATAGCAGCATTTTTTGATTTATTCAGTCCTCGATTGCATTTTCTAGTCTGTGTAAAGGTCGAGCATATTTATTTTTACTTTACAAACCAATGATATTCACGCAAGTTACAGGTCCGATTTTTTGGTCTGTTACTTTGCTCTTCTAACTTTTTTTGTTATTTAATTCATTACCATTTTCAAGGTTCATATCTTATAATAGATTCACATTTGAGTTTCTATAAATACTTGGTAAAGCTTACTTGAAAAACTGACTGCAGAGATTGAAACGAGTCTCAAATATCCCAAAGTCTCGTTCCACCCCGGACGCCATTTACTCACCTTCTCCCCGATTTATCGTATCGTCCCATAATCCCCGTCGTTGTGATTTTTAACACGGTCGTGACAAACAGTTTCAGTGTGGCCAAGAGAGAACTTTGCACTGTTTTGAACCCGCATTACAAAGACATTGCCATTACGATTATTACCAGTCGGAGGGACAATACGCTTTATTTTACCCCCTCCTCGACCTTGTGCATTTAACGTTGCCTGGTCATAATTAAACTGCATTTCCCAGTTCCCCACACCACTGCAAGAGTCGTTTCAAAGTTGAGATAAAACGAAACAGATAAAACAAGGAATAAAAAGAGTTGGTAAAAGAAAAAAAATTTCAAACTTGCTCACGATTAAAAGAGTCGCTATAAACTTGATTGCAAAAGCTGTACAAGGCGAGATTGCATTTTGCGCCGGACATTGTACTTGCTCTAATTGCCGATAAGTGTGGCCATTTTCGCAAACTAGTGAATGAAGGACAAGGAGAAAATATTCCAAGCACAACAATTGCTTCATTCATCGCAATAGCTCTTTATCTTAGAAAATACAACAGAAGCAATTAGTCAACGACACCACCAACAACGACGACGACGAAGAGCGATCCAAGAATTGAAACCAGGCGTCTCATCTTCTCCTTCCCGTAAAGGTAAGATTCGCGATGGTGCGATTTATTTAGTTGTTGTGAGTACATAAAGCTTACATTCATTATTTATTGCTGGGCTCATAAAGCATAAAGGACGGGTTGGGATAGCATTATTATTATTATGTGGTACCCAACCATCACCTGTGTTATGGGACTCGTAAGGGGAATTAAGGCGACCTATGCAAGAAATCATGACCATTTGTGTTGGATGAGGAATGATTGATGTGAGTATAGAGATTTCTCTGGGAGAGAGAGAACTTGAGGCAGATTGAGACAGCAGTGTAACAATCTACGACTTTATCGTGTTCCTTTTATGCATGCCGTTCTGAAACTCGGGTGATTTCACGCCTTCACTGTATCCTAATTTATGCAATCAGGCGTCAGTATATGGCTCCTTCTTAATTTTACGTAAACAGAGGTAGGCATTCAATGTACATATGCAGTGAAATACAATATATAGCAAGAAATACTACACACTGTACACTTTCCGTTTCTAGTCACAACAAACACAAATATCAACACCCGTTTCGGAATACAAATTCCCATACCTCCGCTGGTGTGATTGCAGATTTCAGTGTAAAACAACTGCCAACACATCAACCGGAATCAAAACGTAGTCGACTGCCATATAAAGAATTCATGCACATCAATCACCCCTTGTCACTGGTGGAAACAGGGAGAAGCAGCCAAGGAAATCTCCAAACTATGAAAACACGAATTTTCCCGTAACAAAAACATCTACAAAGCGTATACAATGACTTAGGAGGGGAGCTTGCGAGGTTGATAATAACAGATATTGGTGCCCTTTGGATATGTGGTAGGGACCCATGAGTGTACTAAAACCCTGAAGTAGTTTGACTCCATGGCCACATTTGCGCCCGCCACACCCACTCAAAAATGTCCAAAAAACGCTTTCACCCCAGTTTTCACTCACTCAAATCCACGCCAAAAATCCAATTTTACTCGGATTTTGAAATTTCTTTCACCATTATACTCCCAGATAGTTGCTTTCTTCAATCCAATATCAAACTCAATTTTTTCGAAATTTTTAGTATTTTTAAAATTTAAAATTCTGAATGAGCATTGTTGTAGTCATCAACAAAACAAATTATGTTTGCGAAATAATCATCAATAAAATTGAGTTTGATATTGGATTGAAGAAAGCAACTATCTGGGAGTATAATGGTGAAAGAAATTTCAAAATCCGAGTAAAATTGGATTTTTGACGTGGATTTGAGTGAGTGAAAACTGGAGTGAAAGCGTTTTTTGGGCATTTTTGAGTGGGTGTGGCGGGCGCAAATGTGGCCATGGAGTCAAACCACTTCAGGGTTTTAGTACACTCATGGGTCCCTACCACATATCCAAAGGGCACCAAGATCTGTTATTATCAACCTCGCAAGCTCCCCTCCTTAGACAAACAATAAACGTACTCCATTATCATTTTCGTTTTTAAAAGAACGTCAAAGTTCAGGAGGCCTTTTTCATCCTACTTTTTTTCTAAATATCGAGAAATTTGAAGGAAAAAGTTTCTTGACTTGGTACATATGCACGTGGATCGTGTGATATAATTGGCAGAACAAAGTGAAGTGAGGAAGAACACGATTGACTATGTATTCCATCAATTGGACTCCTGTTTTTCACTTCAACGGTTGCATAAATCGGACAGAGTGACTCGATACGTTTGATGGATTCATAAATGTCAATTCACAACTTGATGCATATCAGTTCGCCAGATTGAATTTTTCTTATGATGAGTGACTGACTCGCTCGCTCGTTTTGATTTGTGCCGTGATAACGAGCACAGGAGGGAACTCAGTTGTAAGGAGAACAAACGTTATTCACTGGAAAGTTGAGCATTTCCAAATTTGCTAAAATAGGAAAAAAAACATTAACCGTTGCCCATTTGCATGACAGTAAATTGTGTCACACACAATGCAAAGGGTTGTTGAGTTAAGGAGTGGGTTGTTCAAGAAGTGAACGGCATATCTACATAGATATGTACGTTGATGAAAATGTTAAGCATATATGTACGTACACACTAAAGGGGTATCTTATTATTAGTCTGTGAAAAATGTATGGTTGAAGATTATTAATGAGATTCCAGTGACTTCTGGACACTAAATAAATTGTGTGGCTTCAATTTCTTGTTTTGACACTGACCAAATTTGGATAGTAAAATCGGAAAGTGGTCATTGTGTGATGAGAGGTTTTCTGCCGTTTCCTACCACGAACGAAGCTGTCTATTGTCTGGAAATAAATCGTGATTGTGAGAATTTTTGCTCTGAAGTCTCCCAGTCTTCTACAGAAGCACATACCTAATAGGGAAATCGACTACTTTGCAAAACAGTGCAAAACTACCTATGGGCAATTTCAAGTCATATAAAATGCAGACAGTGCAACGCCATTATTTTGAGAACGCCAGCAATGACATGATATTCCTGCTTTTACGGTTCTACATTATTATGTACATTACTACACTGCAATGATGTGCATCATCATCTCGTGTCACATCTTTGGAAATTAATCACACATTTTTACATAACGCCGACCAACCAGCTATATCTGGAAATGGGAGGATGTGCCTGAAATGTTGAAACAATGCATGGTTGGTTAAAAAAATTAGGTAAAGGAGGTGAATGGAGGTAAAAAATGTTGGGTTAGTTTCGTATTTCATACATTCGCATAATAATATTGGACGAATGCACGCTGTATCGTGTGCAGGTGGCAAATGATAAATTTAAATGTCATGTTTCTCTGCACATTTCATAAAAGTCTGTCTCAGACTTCTGTTAGTGGGTGCGTGTTCTGGTTCCAAAATTCGGTTTATAGCTAGCATTGCCTGGCTTCAGTATTAATAACCTTTGAAAAAATCCACCCGACTTGTTCGTCCCTGCCTTGTATTACGCACCTATTGAATATTGACGGATACCTATGGATGGATATGCCAGTGTTTAAAGCTTAATAAATTACGGGAGGAATCCTCAAGAAACTTTCAGCATCGAAATACTTAATTTATGCTATTTTCTTATCAGATTACATAAACTATGGACAAAAACTTGTAAAGAAATTGCACAAACTATGAGAAAGGTTATTAAATAGAAAGAGAGCGTATGGACATATCATTAAAATCATACTTTACTGGGCAATTGTGTTTAAAATTTTTACAATAATGGTAACGTTTATCGATGGTCGATGAAACTTTAACCCAAGTATTTCCGACTCGCATTTGCAACATTTCGTTCAGTAGTGTTGCAACAATTTAAATAAATTTTCCCAAATTACTGGATAAATAGTAATTTGAAAATAAATTGTTGGAAACTTAGCATTTTATAATAATGCCTACTGCAACATACATATATTACAAATTGGACATATTACCCTCACAGAAGGTTTTTATATTTCCAGACTTTTAAACTATTTAGGTTGTTAAATTACTCAATAAAAAATTATCTCAAACATGTACAATAAATTGTTGCTAAAATTTCGACCCTCATTCTTCCTCATCATTTACTTTATCGCTAACCGGATTCAGGTACTTTTTTACAAGGTCATCACCACACAACTCTGACGAGAGAGAGCAAATTTATCCAATTTTGAATATCCAGAATATGTCGAGTTTTCAGTGGTGGGTGTCAAAATATTATAAGTTTTATTTTATTGAATCCGTTTCTGTCCCATTCTGCAATCTTTCACTTCCATTCCATCCAAGTAGCCGTCTAAGGTCACGTTATTCTGTAAGATCTGCCATTTCTAGCCCACACTTCTCCCTTTGACCGAATACTTTACCCATTTCAATTGTACCATATTTTCATGCTAAACAGGATAAAATATTGGTTTACAAATTTAAACTTGCACTCTCAACACCTCATTCGAATTCCGAACACGAGTGATGACATTTCAAAATTCAAACAATTTGAAACAAGAGCACGCCAGGGTAACTTACAAGTGGGGAAACATATGTCATACTTATGTGGGAGCAGGGAATGAATTATAAAGACAGCTTGAATTATTTGCTCATATATGCGACGCTACATATGGATGGATGGAATGGATGGCTGAATGAGAACAAGATATTCTACAAAGCATTGCAGAGAAAACTGGAGAAAGTCGGCCCATAAGAGTGAATGGTATCCTCCCAAAAAAAATATTGGTGCTGGTGACGACAATTGGTGGTGAAGGTCGACAAGGCTAAAACTTTCTCCTTTCTTGTATTGGTTTTGTGCGTTCAAACTTTGAATATGAATCAGAGTCGGGAATCACAAGGATTTTTCTTTACATTAACAATTGATAACCCGTCGTGCGCCTCCTCCCACACTTTCTTTTGTTTCCCATCCGTCTAACCCGTTTTTAAGTCTGTGTGAGACTCATCTCGTCAAATAAACTTGAAGAGTTCGTCACGTTTGCGGTGCAGTCTCGTCGTCATCGCCGCTCTTGCACCAGAACATTTCTAATTTATGTACTTCCCAAAAACCCTTGTTGCAGTAGATACAAGTCTTAATTTATCCAAATAAAAAAACTTTTTATCGTCGTCCTCCATGCAAGTTGTTCGTGGGTAGGTGACTACTTGGTCGAGAAGTTGAACACAATATTGAAATCTTACAGAATGATAATCCCTTCTCCCTGACTCTGCTGACACATCGGATGGCTTGATGTAAAATGTAGTCGCATTTGCTCCTCATGGTGAAAGTGGAACATTTAAGGAGAAGAATTTCTTGGGTTTTTTATAGTTCATGTGGCGTGGTTGCTGTTATCTACATGCCAATGTGGTTGGCGGTCTCGTGGTGCGGCGCCTCAGGTTTTTAGTGTTTTTTTCACGTCCTTTCTCCTCCGCTTCTTCTCATCTGATCCACATTTCATTATAATGCAAAAACTTGGCACCATTTGTACAGGATCCATTCTCCTGGTCTTAATTGAACGAATCCAATTTAAAACGAAACGTCGTGGTTCTATCAAATCAAGGCGGCGGTGCAATATACACTTCTTCTCCTCCGCCTCCTCCTCCC